TTTTACGTGATTGTGACTGGGTACATAAGCACCAAACCTTCATGTCTGTGGCTGGGAACCTCGATGTTTGGAGCCCCAGAGCTGAGGAATCCACCTACAGTTAGAATCCCATATGGGGCAGTTGTTCCCCCCCAGGTCACATCCCATGTGTGCTGCTGGTGTCAGTGGCCACCAGGTAAGAGTATGGATGGTTTTGTGGAGACATATTTCTGTAGCCAAAAAAATGAATGACTCAAAGTCAGTCTCTGTTGAAGGGCCCTCTCATCTCTGGGCTCCTGGCACCCAGCATTCTGAATGTCACTGATGCCTGGGATTAATTCTTTAGGGTGACTCTTAGGAGAACTCACACAAGGTCCTAGAGACCCTGAGGTGCCTTTCTGAGGTTTATTGCTTCACCTCTCTGCCTGTATCAGATAGACCCTGGTACAAAGAGGATAAAAGAGTGATTATGTTTCAAAATTATCTACATAACTTATTTAAATTTTGGATCCTGTGTGTCGCGGCAGCCTTTGTCCTGGTTCCTGGTGTCCCTTGATGATGGGGGTGGATGTCAGCACCGACTGGCGCAGGCCCAGCCCAGGGATGGTTTTAGTTGATTTTTTTTTTCCTCATATATAAAAATCTTCTGATTTGTTTCTGTAGGTAGGTGACACATCATTTGATCTGCCAGAAGCAAATGTCCTCATTCAGATCTCATCCCATGGTGGCTCCAGGCGTCAGGAAGCCCAAAGGCTAGGGCGGGTGCTTCGAGCTAAAAAAGGTAAAGTGGCCTTTCATCTTCTGTTGCAGGAGGTCACTCCTCCTAAACCACTTTAGTTTGGAAGACAGTAGGGGTGAGGGCTGCCATGTGCCCTGGGGCTAAATAGACTCTGGAGGGAGGGGATCCCAAAGCAAAGACCTAGATCCTTATGCCTGTCATTATTTTTCATGCCTTGGGGGTGAATATGCGGGTGTTTTCCCTGACAGCGGCATGGAATCCACGCAGATGTGCTCTGTACACTGTGCAGCTGTGTTGGTGGATGGTAAGAGGGAGCCAAGGCAAGGCAGTGCTTATGGGCTAGATGTGGAAGGGAGAAAACAGAGCTGGGCCAGCAGTGTAAGTGGAGGAGCTGGGAGCTGCTTCTGGAACTTGAACAGGAGGCAGGGAAAGGTTTGCTAGGAGCAGCTTGGGCAGACACACAATGGACACATCATTCATAACCTGTGCAGAGTGCTGCCCTGGTGGCAGCTTGCAGCAGGGGCAGGGCAAGCACAGTGAGTGAGGAGGTGCGAATCCACATTCCTAAGACTTTTTCTGAGGAGGCGTGGCACCCCTGTGCTTGCTTCCTGCAGTAAAAGGGCCCAGACCGTCATTGTGGGCGTGGCAGGGACTGACGCTCTTGCTAAGAGGTGGCCATATCTGTCTTACTGGGACCGGGGCACATCCTGAGACAAGGACACAGGCCCTGTCCTCAAGGAATTTGCTTATTCAAGGAGGCATCTGGACTGCTGGGATGTTTGAAAATGACAAGATTAGTGGGCATATGTTGGAATTGCACTGCATTCAAATGTGTTTAAGAAGCATCTAGTAGCTTGTATTTAAAATGGAGATGAGGCAGATAGCATGGACTAGAAATAGCATGGACTCGGGCACCAGACCAGCTGTGTCACCTTGGGCGAATTATTTGCTCCTCTGAGCCTTGGTTTTCCCATCCAAAGTGGGGGTGACAATCCTATCTTGCCAAGACTGCTGTGAGGATTGAGCTTATAAATCATAAAATGTAGTGGACTGGCTGGACACAGTGGCTCACACCTATAATCCCAGCACTTTGGGAGGCCAAGGCAGGAGGACAGCTTGAGCCCAGGAGTTTGAGACCATCTTGGGCAATGTAGTGGGACCCCATCTCTACACAAAATAAAACTAGCTGAGTGTGGTGGTGTGTGCCTGTGGTTCCAGGTACTTGGGAGGCTGATACAGTAGCTTTTATAAACTGACAGGAATATGATCTGCTAGTAAATGTGAACGTAATTCATTACTTATTCCTTACTCTAATTTGAAAACTCCTTTATTGATTGATTGATTGATTGATTGAGACAGTCTCATTCTGTCGCCCAGGCTGGAGTGCAGTGGCACCGTCTTGACTCACTGCAACCTCTATCTACTGGGTTCAAGTGTGATTCACCTGCCTCAGCCTCCCGAATAGCTGGGACTACAGGCATGCACCACCATGTCCAGCTAGTTTTTTTGTATTTTTAGTAAAGATGGGGTTTCACCATTTTGGCCAGGCTTGTCTCTAGTGATCCACCCACCTTGGCCTCCCAAAGTGCCGGGATTACAGGTGTGAGCCACTATGCCCAGCCTTAAAAACTCCTTTAAATGTGAATAGAAGGCCGGGCACGGTGGCTCACGCCTGTAATCCTCGGAGGCTGAGGCAGGTGGATCACGAGGTCAGGAGATCGGGACCATCCTGGCTAACAAGGTGAAACCCTGTCTCTACTAAAAATACAAAAAACTA